CAGTTCTTCATAAACTGTACATGCCAGGCTCAGCTGTACTGAAATGCAGCCACCTTCAGGGTAAACAGCAGCAGGTCATTCAAAGGATTCAGCATAGCACTGGAAAGGACAAAAAGAGAAGGAAGGGTATTTTTCCCAAAAGGTCAGCAGAGGAAATATAAACTGCAAGGCCATGGCCACTGCATGATAGCGCAGGAGAGGAAAAGGCTGAGGCAAACAGAAAGGAAACTGGGATGGCAAGGGAAAGGAAGGCAGGAAATCGTGTTGTTATACAGTGTTTAGCTCAGCCACAGAAAGCTCCTGTCTCAAAGTGATGTGCTGTAGGTGTCAGTTATTAGAGGGAACAAGTACAGATATTATGTATTTGAAATGCATTTAATGAAGTACACCCTAGCTGATGGTGCTCTCCTCAGCAGGTCCAGGCACAGAGCAGAGAATGGGCCTCAGGCATTCACATCAGGTCGCAGGTTTAAATAATTTTTAAACTAGGGCAAGGTGCCAATTCCTACCTCAAGGTGCTGCACCCAGATAGACATGTCAGCAAAAATACCAAGTTCAGTGCATACAGGATGACCATCAATACACATTGCTCCAGAACGAAACAGTAACTTACTTTTTTTGCCAAAGTTCACCACTTTTGAGCAATAAACCTCTCAACAACAGTCACCAAGACCAGATTCAGACATAATGTGTAGGACAACACCATGGAATATTATACTAGGAGTAAGCTAGCCTTCTATCCGATTGTCTTACCAAACCAAGAAAACCTTTTTGGCGGCATGGATCAAATGTATTTAAAAACAAAGAAAAACCCCAAAACCCCAAAACAAACAAACAAAAATACAAACTTGGGTAACTCTTGTTGCCAGCACAAAATCCTCTTGCTTTCAAGCTATGCACCTGTGTCAGTGATTTGCAGTTTTTGCCATGGGCAAATGAGCCATTTGAGATTTATATAAAATTATTCTCTGTAGATCTTGGAGTACTTTTGGTAGCACTCATGCATCATTTTACAGGTGGGGAAACTGAGGAACCTGGACTTGACCATGTGTTGGAAGACAGCAGGTTTCTATACCCATTCCTTTTCAGGACCTCTTTACAGAAGAAAGGCAGGATCATGGCACAGTCTTGATTTTGTGCAGGTCACCTGCCACAGACACATTTTCTAAATCCAAGCTCTGAGAAAAAAAAAAAAAAAAAGGACTGCTGGCTAGTTCACAACACACCAGGCCTTTAGCAACACAGAGGCCCTCTGCTTGCTGCAGGCAGGCAGGCAGGCTTGCTCTTTTCCAGTAACAGCAGGGTCTACCCAAGCATGTATGATGAACTCATCACAAAAGCAATCAGGCATTAATTTGGTCAATCATTCCTGTGACAGCAAATCCAGTTCTCCAACTACGACAAGGCAAGAATCCAGCTAAACTGAAGGACAGAAATAAATGCCTCAAAAGATATCAGTCAACGTAACAGAAGAACAATTTAGATATTGACCTATCCATACTTTTTTTTCCCCCTTCTTTTTTTAAAGAAAAGGTTACCCAAGAGTTAAGTAGGAACACAGATAAAAAGCATTAAAAAATTTAATCGGGTTTTCCAGGCACTAATAACAAAAAGGCAGCCCACCCTCCAATCCTCATTTAGAATATTTATGTGGAGTTTCTATTAGGCTGCTGCATGCCTTGCGTGTATCCTGCTTCACTAAAGAGGAGGCTTTCTGAAGCATCACTTGACTTTGTTTTAAATATCTTGCTACGGTTTCCATTTTAGCTCTGTGAGATGATTATTTTCTCTCACCAAACTGAAGTTATGCAGCAGTTGAAAATGCTGATGGCTTAACTGTTTCTTTCTTTTTTTTTTTTTTCCTCCCTTCTCCTCGACACAGCAACCCTGAGGGGTTTTAACTCTTTCTGCAGCATTGAAATCCTGCTTTTGGAGTTCAATGTTTAACTCGCGCTGGGAGACTCATAAATATTCGGAGTCACTCTCTCCCTCTCTGTTTGATTAGGAAATGAGCCTTTAACTCAATGTAATCCCCAAGCCATTAACAAAAAAGCCCTCAACAGCTCCACTATTAGAATTTCACTCCTAACCCACAGAGGATTGAATTAGATTAACATAACTACCCGCAATCTGAGTTTATTTTCTGTGCCAGATAGAAATGTGTCTTCAGGAAAGAAAAAGAAGAGAGCAGGAGAGCAAGCATAGCATAATGAAATGTAAAAATAGAGAGATGAGAAATAGATGGACAGATGTACAGGTGAAGCTATAAAAGACGTAAGAGAGAGCAAGAGAGATAGCTGGCTACACAAACCTTAATAACTGGCTGCTGGGGGTTTTATTAAGAATGCCCCTAAAAACAGAACCGTTTCAAGAAGAGTATTCTTTTTTTTCCCTGCTGGTGTTTAATCCATATTTTCAGGGATTTACAGGAAGACACCTGAGCATGTTGTGCTCCAGACACCTGTGCAGCAGATTTGGCAGAGGTTTTATTTATAAGGGGTGCTATAGTCAGCAATGAAAGGAGGGGCTTGAAGAGGAGACTCTGCATGTCAATCATTACTTTGCAGTCAAAGAAACAAACTAGGACAACATGAAAGTTGTTGTTTGTTTAAGGAATAAAAAAAAAAATCATGCAACAGCCCTGTGACAAACTACACTGTACAGAGTAAGTCAGTTTGGAGGCTGGTACACAGTCCACAAAACATGAAACATTAGTGAAAAAACTAAGTAACAAATACTTCCACATAATGCATTAAAGTCCTCCCTCTAACCACAGGTAACTCCCTCCCTCCAAATAAAAGTGGTCTCATAAACCATTGATTGGTATGCTACAGGACAGTAGATGCCTTGGTTACTTTTTCCAAATACGGTAATAAAAATATATGGCAGGTTTAACAGGGGAAAAGACTCACATGCAGTTAAAAGAGAAGGATAAAGTCCAGCAATTATGATGACACAACTATTGAACAGTCCAAACAAATTCTTAACACTAAATTTTTTCTAGCTTTATACTTGAAGGACTACTTCAGGAGCGCTTGGATGTCTGCAAAAATTTATAGTAAATCAGTTTTTGCAGTAATTCCCGAGCATAGTCATGATGATATTTCTGTTTATGTAAGAAGAAAAAGATTCATTTTTCAAGTGATAACATGTCTCTTGGTTTTCAATTTTAAGGGAACCTCAGACCAGCTATCTGATAGATTCCTTGTTAGTTAGTTCTTGGAGTCAGCAACTTTATTTCTTTAATTTCTTTCAGGAAAATCTGCTCTCCCTTTTTACACAATAACGTTGCATTGTCACAGAGGCAATAAATGTAATATCATGCCAAAACAAACAGAAAAGGGACTTAAATAATTTAACTACATTCATTTTTAAGTAAAGCAAAAATCCTTAATAATCAAAATGAAGCTTCCTATGATAAGAATGGTCAGGTTAACATTTTTTTTATTTGGGGGAGGGGAGCTTCATAGCAAGCAGTGTATTGTAACCATTATTTTGGGCACTATTTGTGTACATAAATCCACCATGTTTATCCACATTTTCCTAAAAGCCTTTCTTATATCTAACATTCCAGCTGAAGGATGGAGTATTTATACCAATGGCTAAAAACTCAGACAGAATTAATTTGCCGCCAAGATTTTTTGTCTCTAGAACTTGAGTTGAAAACTTTGAGTAATATAAAATTCATAGCAAAGAAATGCAAAATAAAGAAATTACGAGCAAGCTCACTTACCACCTTTCTACAGTCAGTCCAAGCAACTCAGCTATCATGTATTTTTTAGGACTTGATATTTTACCTATGAAACAGCTATGGTTTTATTATTCTATTTTCATGAGACACTTGTTCCTCCAAATTATTTTAAATTCAGCTTCATTTGATTTGTTGTTATTTTCAAAAATGGTAATTGTGGGGAAGAAAAGTTTTTATAACATAGAATCAGTTATAAATTTATATTAAAATTTTTTAGCACAACAAAATTTAAAATTGTAATATTGGCATTTTGGGAAGTAAACGTTATAAATACAATAAATGAAGGAAATATTTCTATACTTAAAAAAAATACAAAATCTAATTTTTGTAAAACCTATAGCCCAAAACTCAGGCAAAAACATGAAACAAAAAATTCTTTGTGCTAAAACCTATAAATAAAAAGCAATTTCTGGCTAATTATAATCTTCCCTCTCTTCTGTTAACTAAAATACTCTAAAAATATAATGTTCAAACCTTTTGCATTTTGTCTGCTTTAAAGCAAACAGCTCATTGGCAATGAGAGAGTAAGTTCCTTCTCTGACTACCACTGTGCCGACTTTACAAAGACTTGCACCCCTCTTTTGTCATTGAAGAGACTTTGGTTGCTGTGGGACTTTTAAAATTAAAGAAACATCAACTGCTCAATGATAAATGCATTCAGTAAAAGCAAAATTTCATTTCATCTCCATGCTAAAAGAAGGTTTGATGTGAAGCTGGGGGGTGTTGGGGGGTGTTGGTTTTGGGGTTTTGTGGGTTGTTTTTTTTTTTTTTTTAATAGAGGAAAGGGTGTTGCTTGGTTCTTTTAAGACAGGACTGCTGAAGTTTCCAGGTTTGCCTTTACCAGCATGGGATAAATAGCACCTGTCCTTGGTAAGCCCTTAAGCAGAGTTACATTATACATTGACCTTTTTGGAATGCCAGCAAACCTGACCCTTTCTATTCCCAAAACAAAACCGTTCCACTCAAACTTTCATTTGCTTATTTCCAGAGGAAAACACCAGTCTCAAATAGTGAAACTGACTGATTTCTACAAAGTTCTGAACCAACTCCTCTGCTTGTGGGTCATGCTGACCTTCCTTTGACAGTGTGAAATCAGAAAAAAAACCCCACTACCTTTAACCATACTGAGATGCTGCCTTAATTTTTAGCCCAGCTAAAAGGATTGGTTCAGAGCAACATTCAGATTTAAAAAGCCCAAAACAAAAAACAACCCCATAAATGCAGTAAAAGGTAGAAGTTCACTACTTACATGCTGCAGGCTGAGAGATAAAGCTCGAGGCTGGAGTAGAATTTCCCTTGCCCTCAGGTGTTTCTAATTGCTGATTAAATATCTTTTGGTTCCGCCTGCACCAGCCGACAGTCCCCTCTGCGTCTCTGCCTCTCTTTGTGACTAGGACACAGTACTCTGAGTCCCAACCTATAAATAGATCCCAGCTCTGTGATTGATATAACAGGCAGCTGACAAAAAAAAAAAAAAAAAAAAAAAAGAGAGAGAAAGAAAGGAAAAAAAAAAAAAGAAGGAAAAAAAAAAAAGAAATAACCAGGTCTTAAGCAAAGCAGCAGAATCTGGGCTTTTAACTGCGCACTGTGCCCAGGGAGGAGTCCCCCACAGTCACCCGTGGGCATCAGAAAGAGAAAGTGCAAGGCAATTACTTTCCTAGCAGCATTAGAGCAACTTGAGGCATGTAAGGCAAATGAACGAAATTTAGTGCACAAAGAGGGAGAGGGAAAGCACAACTGGCAGACTGCATCCAACTCTTTTGTAATTTAGCATAAATAAATGCCATTTTAAAAACAAGTTGGGGATTCTGACAGAATGAGAGAGTTCAGAGTTAAGTTCTGGGGGTTGGTCCAGGCATGCTTGTATTTCTGCAGCAGAATAAACTAGTGGGTAGGTTAGCAATATAACAGCTCAGCAGTCTACTTAGGGTCTCTGCCCACAAACACTATTTGATGAGGCTGTTCCTGAAAACAAAATTGAGGGCATAGATGGTACCTCCCCTATTGACTCAGCAGAAGTTACTTAGCTCTTAGGGACCTGAACCATCGTTCCTGCTCATGTCCTTGATGGCCAGGAGAAAACTGGTGAGTTACAGATATCAGGAGAGCAGTTTCACAGAGGCTGAGCTGAGAGCCCACCATCTGGGCAATGAGTTGAGAGAATGCATCAGGAATGCTTCTGCTGCCCTGGTCCCCATTAATTGACAGGGGTAATGGTCCTTGGTTTTTCCATATCTAACCTCTACAGATTCTCCTGTTAGATCCATAGTTAGGCAAGGCCAAAAGCTTTTCCAGGAGGTAGCTGGTTCTCCAAGCTTTCATCAACTCCTAGATATTTATGATCTGCAGCAGGACCTTAACTGCTATGCAGTTTCACAGCATACAATCTTAAAGGCAAGGCAGCTCCTAATGAACACCAGGATAGGTAATAAGAGGGAGAACAGTAGGCAGAGAGGGGAAAAACAGTTTTTACTACACTCCTACAATGGCAGTATCTCCTACAATCATCCCCAGCACCATGCTCAGCTCTGCAGGCAAAAGTACTAGTACTAGTGTAGAAAGAGAAACAGATTCACCAGCCTTCTTTTCAACACATTGCTAGGCTTGCTTGAGCTGAGATGGTAAAGAAATGCTCATAAAGCATTCTGATGGTAAAGAAACTCATAAAAAGCAGGATAAAACCTCAGGCATCAAGCCCATGCCGAACTCCATGGTTCTTTGGCTCAGTGGCTAACTGTTCCTGAACTATTTAAGCTAGTTTAGGCATGTCTGCAGTACACTGCAGCTGCTGCTCTTGCTGAAGTAAAGTTAGTTTAACAGGAGCAGCTATCCTAAAGCAAGGCAAGGACCCACCACATCACAGCGAAGGTCTCAGCTCAACTGCAGCTATTGATCATGTGGGGAGATAAAATAATTTCTTCTTTTGGGGCCAAATCCTGATGCATGCATAACTCGCCTCTTGACAATATGCTTTGTGTCTAAGCTGGTAGGATTTAGTCAATGAAATGGCCTTGCAGAACAGGGGTCTGATAAAGCACTGGACAAAAACTCGTGAAATTTAGACATTTTTCTTAGTTGAGCTAGTGCCCTTCCTGAAGTCTGGCTTGTCACTTTACCACAGGTTTAAAAAAAACAGAGATAACAATACTTAACACTGCACTTCAAAGCACTTTGATGTCCACAGATGAAGAACTACAAATGGCTGAGCTTAAGTGAGAAAACACACCCTCAATTCCCCACCAGATTTTGATCCTTCACCTAGTTGAATCAGATCTTGGATAAAAAAATTACGTGACCACCTGAATTTCTGCCCTCTCATTTGGGCTGGTTAGTACAAGGTGTTTTGGGCTTTGATATTAAGAACTGTAAACCATTTTACACTTCCCACTGCCATCAGAAGGAATTTGAGAAGCTCAGTACACAGAATAATCAGGCTGAGGCACGGTAGAGCAAAGTCACAAAACAGGGGCATCTAAATTCAACAGTCATTTTTAAAAAATTCAGCTCTAACAAATGCATAGTTACACAGATCCAGAACATGTTACCACTGTCAGACTGTTCTTTGCCTGTTGGCTACTGCTGACAGTAGTTCTTCAACAGTACTCCACCAAGCCCTGTGTTGTACAGAGCAGCACCACCCCTTCCCCGTTACGCTGCTATGAGCCAAACTAAAGCTCATAGTGTAGTCTAAATCACAAGGACACTTTGGGCACATCTCAATCAAGTAGCTGCAAAGCGCTATTCAGTTCTTAGGTCCAGGTCCAGGTCCAGTGCTTTCCACTGGCATCCCATACCTACAGTGGTGCAAAACCTGGGCATACATTAGTCCCCCATCCTTCCACTTTCTGCCTGGAGGATTAAGGGATGAGGACTTGCTAGCATGTGACAGCTAGTACAGATGAACCCTGAATGGAGTCAGCATTCCTCCATTCTTACTCTCTGCCTTTACACAGCAGTATGTATGACCTTAGTTGCTCCCCACTGGGATACACAGCAATCCAGAAAAGATCTGCTTTAGGTAAAACTTCAAAAACAGGTCCTGCATCCACATTGCCAGCACCCCTATGCACAAAAACCACTTAATTCCAGTCTCCAGACTTAGGGTGATGCAGGGAAAGAATCCAACAGTAGAGGCCATAACCCTGGATGCACACTTCAAAAACGAGCAAATAAAAAAACCCAAACAAACAAACAAAACCCCAGAAAAAATATCAACACCAGTGGCTTGTAGGCTGCATAAAGGCTCAACTCTTTCCTTGATAAAGTGCAAATGCAGCTTTACCATCTTTTCTACTTGTTGTCTGGGAAGCTATCTTCTAAATGTTTTTTGCTAGGGCCATTTTCACCATAAGCCTGTATTCAGTCTCAGATTCTCAAGTCTATGGCAGAGGTAAAATTCCAGTGCTTAATCTTCTTCAAACACAAAAAGTTTGAGCTTTGCACATAGAAATCTAAGCAGAATTTTATATTACAGAAGCTATTACAGAAGAATGCATATATACTTTCCTTCTAATGACAAAATCAAACAAAAATTCACAACTACCTTTTGTAGATAGCGACACAGCAAAACCAGTTGAAGGTTGGAATACTGATCCAATCAGTGTAATCTTCTAATCCCGCACCCCCCCCCCCCCCATTAAACCACATCTTTGTCCTCTTTTCCTGTGTCCCTTCTCACAGAAGCAGCTATTAAGGTGCTTCTGTGCACATCTGATCCATGTGCCGTAAGTTTAGAGCTCAGAACCAGTGCTGCTTTGGTATCAGAAATACAGATACGAATGTAAGTTTTAACAGATAAACTGAAAGTCACCTCTGCAGTTTCAAAGGCTAGCCACAAACTAAGAACATTCGTAACACACAACAAAAAGTTTCTTTGGCAGAGTCACACTACTTTGAAAGTCTCACAAACCCAACATTCCAGGACAGCTGTATTAATGCCCTGTTGCATTTACGGAGGTGTGAATTGCACAGACTTCAAACAGGGACTAGGTAAACACGAAAAAAGATACTATGGAATGATAACTCTTTTCACATAAAGGAAATGAATGTCAAAAAAACCCTCTTCCAAGACTAACAATAACAACATGAGGAATAAAAGATAAACAAAGGGAAAATTTTAGTAGCAACTCTTTCTGGAAGCTTGGCACACACAGTATGACTGATCTGATTTAAGATGTAGTGAAATGTACTATGTATTTTGATACTAAGCATGTACTCTGAAAAACTGCACGCTGGTTTTACTGCTAGGAGTTTAGCTGGTTAATTTCCTTATTTGATTTTAATGCTGAAAACTTCATATTACTTCAATGTTCTTTTTCTGTGCAACCAATATCACAGCAGGATATTTATGGCACATGCCGAACCCAAAGTCCACACATACCATCTAATTCTTCCATGTACCCTTTAGGATGGTGCAGGCTATATACTGTGATGTCAAGTCTCTGCCATCACCACAGAAAGCCACACTGCTTCGTTAACACACTTAGAAACTTCACTCCTTCTTTAGCTTCTATGTATTTTGATATTCTTCAGCAATGTGAAGAGTTACCACACAAGAATTACAAAATTTTTAACAGAAGTCACCTACCTGGCCATTCCAGGTGAAAATGTGACCACCCTCCAAGCTGCCTGCCAGCTGGAGATTAGGACTCCAAAAGCTCTTTGACAGAAGGGAGTCTGCAAAAACTTTCTAACAGCCTCAAGCAAAGCATGTCAGGTTAGGACTAAGGAACTTTCATGGATTAGGGGAAATAGACTCCAAATCTATTCTGCCATTTTCAGAGCTGCAGACAGAGAAAAATCTTCACCTGGCACAGGTGCTTGCAGAGCACAGCTTAGGCTGTGGAGAGGCACCATCTGTGGCTGCTCAGCAGAGCAATGGCATTGGTCTTAACAAGAGCAAGCACAGGAGAATGCTGCTCACCCTTGTTTTTCTGAGTCCACCAGTAATAACAATGTGCTAATGAAAAATAGCTTGGCTTGAGCATTCAGAAGCTATCCAGAGTGAGCATTCAGTTCTACACACACACAAGGAAACAAAATTTGTAAGGATTTAACTGAAGCCTGCAAGCAGTAGGACAATCACGTGCTGTATTGCATTTAAACACACAAGCTTTGCAGTCTACCACATACAGTATGACAAAAAAATTCCTTCTATCCTTACCTCATTTAGATCCCTCCTAAACTTCCGCTTCTACTGCAGAGCCTGTTCCTAAAAGAGCTTCTGTGTTTACAACCAGCAAAAAACAGTGAAATGGAATAATTCTTGGATGTACTCCTGCCTAAATTGTGTAAACACGATATTCTCTCGCTGGAAATCACCATCATCTTCTTCCAATCACGTGCTGCAGTGTATTCCACCAGCATATGGCTGTCAATTCCATCATTTGGGGCAGGTACCTTTTATGCTTTCAACTTCTTGTGGATGTTTTGCAGAAACTCATCGCTGTTGTTGTATCATTTGTTTAGGACCTTGTTTAGCACCAGCAAGTCCACACCTGTGCTGGCGGGGCATTAGCTGTGCACTCAAGACGAATCTCAAAGCAGCCCAGCAGCCTAAGGTCATCTTCAGGCAAGAGATACTGTTTTGTGCTCTCAGTGACCTTGGCCATGGTGGGGAGGGAGAGGAAGCAGGGTAACTGTCACACTAAAGCTCAGAGCAATTTTGAAACCAGAATGAGGACAGACTTAAAATCAGTTTTGGTGCCAGATCAAATAGGGACCAGGACTGCCAGAAAAAAAGGTTTCCCTTTGTTTTTTGTTTTTGTTTTAATTCAGATTCCTTCAGACTTCTACAAAACCCAAACAACTACATTATAACCACAGACAGGCCTAACCATGATGTCTGGCTCCAGATCTAAACCTCTTACAGCCAGACTGTTAGCTTGGCTCCTCAGAAGGATCATCACCATAATCCAAATGCACAGTGTGTCACAGGGGTTATTACCACTCTCTCTTCTCCTCTTCAAGGAGAGGCTCCATACTCCTGTGTGTCTTGCTCAAATAAAATGTATTTTTAAAAAGTAAAAATGAAGGCAAACAACTGATGTAGTTTCTCAAAGGAAGGGGATGTTTATGGCTGCAGACACTCACAGGAGGAGTAAGTTTTTCCAGAAGCTCTTCATGTGCAAGCTGAGGGGTTTTAGGGCTGCTCATCTGCTTCCGTACCTGCTGAGAACATGCCTGCAGGTCGGCACAACCCAACAGAGCTCTGAGAGGAAAGTGAGGTGCCACACAAGCTCCTCAGCCTCAGAAGTGAGGAAGTAAGTACTGAGAAATTCTGCAGTGGGTCCCTCGTGAGCCCACTCCAAACCAACACTAGCGATCTCCCATCCTGCCTCAACTCCCAGTTAAGTTGGTTGTGTCTGAAGAGTCCTTATCCCTGCCCTGAGGTTGGGACCCTCTCTCTTCTGAAGGCAAAGGCACAGTTCTCACACCCAAAATACCACTAGCCAAGTGTTACTCAGCGTATCTGCACCAGGTGTCTGTAGTGAGGTGCTGGCTGCAGGATGGACCCCGTGAGGAGAGGCTGGGCTGCCCTGTGCCAGACACAGCCTGCTCCAGCCGGCTCCAACTGACCCACCACAGGGCACGGCCGAGCCCCTCAGCTGAGATGCGGTGCCCCTGGGGAAGCGTGTTTGTTTAAGAGAGGGCAGGCAGTGAGGACTGAGAAACGGTAGACACTTAGATCAGAGCAGGGGGAGGGCTAGAGGCGCTCCAGGTGCCGGAGCACAGTCCGCTGCAGCGAGCACAGGGGAGCAGGTGGATGTTTCCTGGAGGCGCTGCAGCTCGCAGCGGGCCAAGGTCAGCCCACCACAGTGAAACAAATTCTGCATGTTCAGTAGCATTCCCTCTGCATCGTAGACCCAGGCAAGCAAGTGCTCCCAGGCAGGTGATCTCTGCCAGGTGCTGCCAGGGCTCCTGTGCCAGGCAGGGTATGCTGCAGGGACTGGAAGGAGGGGACAAGCCACCAAAAATAACCCTGAACACTGCTGGAAACTGTCTTGTTACTGTGGGAGAGACTATTCTCACAGATCACACCAAAACCCTACCTGCAACTCCTGACAACCCAGATTTGGGAGGCACTTGAAGGCACACATGACTTTCATAGACACAGCAATGTGTGTGCAATTCCCTCTCTGGCAGTGAAGTTCTGCCACCATAATACCACTCCCTCGCTGTGCATAAAACCAAACATGAAATGGCAGCCTAAACATCACCCTCACAGAAGTTTCTCCAGCACATAAACCTAAGGCAAGGTTCACTTGCACTGTGAGGGGAACTGGGATCTGTGTTTCCAGCTAATGTCTCTCAGCTCTGTGCCATCTAAAATAACTTCTGAGCCCACTCTGCGGCTGCCAGGCCCTTGGCTGAGAGATGTAAGCCCTTGTAATGTGTTGAACAGGCACAGACCCAGGTAAAATTCTCCCTCCCTTGTCTCTTTTTCTTTAGGTTAACCATAGCAAGCTTCTGCTGAACTTTGACTCAGCTCCATCTTAGCGAATAGGTGAGGTGGTTTCTCCCTCTTCACCACAATTCTGCTGCAGTCTCCTCTGCCTTCTCACCCCATCACCTCAAGCCCTTCTCCATCTTACAGTTGTCAGTCAAGTCTGAAAGCTCTCCCGACCCAGACCCTTCCCACCCTGCAGCCTGGAGCACCTCAAAACTCAGAGCATTTTCCTCTTCAAAAGAATGGAGAGGGAGAAGGGCAGGAGCCTTTTCTTTAAAAGTAGTTACCCATATTTGCAAGAAAGAAGAAATCTGCAACAGGATTTAGTGTTCCCTTCCTCTGTTCCCGACAGACAGAAACTGAGCTCCCTAGCACTGAGCTCATCCCAGGTGAAGGAGCACAGCTACAGCACATGCAGAGAGAGGACAAGCTGCTGGGGCTGCCATGCTGCTGCTGAGCTTTCCTGCTTGTTTCAGGCACTCAGGATTTGGTCTGAGGATGCTCTGCACTAAGAGGACACAAAGGAAGGACGAGCGCGCACGGACACGGACACGCACACGGTCCCAGCAGAGGAGCGGAAGTGCCAGGACAGTGTGCCCTGTGCTCAGGCAAATGCACAGCGGCTACCCCCTCAGCCAACCAGTGCTGCTAGTCAACAGCCTGTCAGGCCGAGGAGGAGCCAAAAGCCCAGCTGTTTCTCTACCAACAGTCTTGGCAAGTGCCACAGACAGCATCCCCCTCTGAGGTCCTGATGGGAAGCACATGGTGCCTGCTCCCTCTCTCTTCCCCCACCCCTCCTTCTGCCCCCCCCCCTCCCCCCCCCCAACTTCTGGAGTTGTTATGGGCTGCTTCTGGGCACAAAGGTGCCCTGCAGTTCACTGCAGGTATTCAAAGCTGCTGGAACCTGAGCTGGAGCGCAGGTATAGCACACTCTATAGCAAACTGTGTCCTCTATCCTCCCCTCCTCTTCCCCACCCCCCTACTCCCTGTAAAAAGATGTCACATTCACCGAGGATTAACAGTGAGGAGGGAAAAAAACAGTCAAATCCTTAACCTCAAATGGATTTACCCAAGGCCCCTTGGAAACAGCTGCTTGAGGAAGGTTTCTGTCAAGTCCGTGCTTCAGGTGCAGACATTTGGTTGCTCAGTCCATTGCTGCTGCTTTAGCCTGTGCTCTTGCCACACCTGGACCTGCCCTCGCCTGGAATAACCAGTCCCTTCCATTACTTCTGCCTAGGGCTCTGCTGCTGCTGAGAGGTGAGGCCCAGCTCCTCACCAGTCCCCTCCCTCAAGGAATGTGTCACTAGCATGACACACAGTCGCTCACACATGGCCTGGCTGTGACTCCCCACTGAGCACAGAGTAGAAGATCTAAAGCAATCACAGTAGCTTCTTCCCTGACATGCTGTGTACCATGCAGCTCTCCTGATCTCACAAGCTTGGAAAAACAAAACAAAACAAAATACAACATAACCACCATGAAACCACAACTTTTCTTTAGCTCCTTTGTGCAACATTAAGCTGTGAAAAAAGTAATGGATTCAGCCCTCTGCACCTTTGCAAGCCAGAACAGATGCATCAAAGCACTTTGCAGCCAGGTAACAGAAACTCCAGGAGAAGCAGCTCCAGTTTTATGTCACACAGCACGTAAGGATACTTTAGCAAAACAGAGTTACACAGGGCTACTTCAGCATGCTCTAAATGACCTGGTTTGGATTTTGGCAGAAAGATAGCCTCATTCATATGGACTTTATATCCAGACGAGAACCAGGCTACATAAATTCAATTTGAGAATACCATGAGACTGTATCTAAGTTATCAGTGCATGGTGCTTCCCTGTGCCCTGTAAATATGCCTTAAGTACCAGAGACAAGAACAGAAACTCCTTCTTGAATACATCTTGTGCCTTGCCATTTGATCCTGGGATTCATTTGCCTAGTGAAACCCCATGGAAACCTGCAAGCAGACTGCCTTCTGCTCTTTGAAAGCCCGTTCTTCAGAGCTGCTGTGCTACATCTCTGCCATTTTTCTGGAGAAGTTTCTTTTTGTCACATTATCAGGTGACAGAACTCACATTTTTAAATTTATAGAAATGGAATGTTAGAAAAAGTAGAGAGCGTGGAATTTTTTTCATGTCTCCTTCTTAAGTTTAAAAGAAGACCCCTTATGTTTCCAAAAATTTATTTTCTTCACTTTCTCACTGATCACTAGCTTGCATCCAGGCAGAAAGCAAGGCTCTAATTTGGAGGCAGGTGGACTGCTGGTTGTAACCATAGGGCATTTCATATTTCCTGTCTGTATCAGCAAATTCCCCAATAAAACACTTTCCTAAAGCTTGGTTGTTCTTTTATGAAATTTAACAAAAAACTGAGTTCTGGACAAATTATTTGGAAGTCTTCCATGTTAACTACAATTGTTCTGAGTGGTGGTATTAATTTGGAGAAATTGTTATTCACTCCAGAAAACTTTAATCAAAGAGCAAACAACTAAACAAGACTTGACACACAGTATCAGGAAGCAGCCCCCTGCCCAGTGATTCCCTCCTTCAAAGGTGATTTCTTCAGCCAGGTTCTCTATAAATGGAAACTCTTATTTCACCTCCTTTTCAGAATGTGTAAGTCTGTGTAGAGAAACTGCTTGGGTATTGCTACATTATGCTTGCAAAATGTTGCCTGTTCCTCTTGCAAGCATTGTTAAGTGAGTCATGAAAATGGGCAGCCTCAGAGGTCCATGTAATGGCAAGACTGCAAAGAAAAAACATGCAACCATTACCTTCATTTCGTGGTACAGAGCAAGCAAAAAGTAAGGAAGTTCCCTGACAATAATGTCTTTAAGGCTGTACCATGACAGGGATGACTACATAGTTACTGTTCATCTTTGAGAGTCAGTGTTTCCAGATGCCTCAGAAATGATAATTTTTACTACAGCTAATTACAGACACACTGTGGTGACTCCCCAGCCAGACTTGTAACCCTTTTATGTTATTGCTGCTATTATTATTATTGTAAGCAGCATTCAGTACCAGGCCCTTTGACACTAAACACCATGCATGTGTAAATAAGCAAATATGGTCTCCACTGCAAATACTTCGTAATTTGAGGCCTGGTCCACATTAATTTTTGTATAAATGTAACTACCCCACTTCACAGGAACTATTTTATAAGAATATTGCACTGGACAAAGTTATATAACTATAACCACGTTTATGTTAGTCTAGCTTACATTTCCAAAGAAGTTGTG